TTCTCAGCACCTACATAGTGACTCAAAACTGTCTCTAACTCCAGTCCTAGGGGATCTCACATCCTCTTCTGGCCTCCAAGGACACTACACATTGGTGGTACACAGCCATACACGCAAACATTCATATACATATAAGCAAACAAATATGTAACTTACAAAGTGGACAGTAATTAAGGACACCAAACATTAACCTCCAAGCTCCGCACCACCAAGCACAGAACACAGAGGCCTCAAAGATAGAGGGCAATGTTTGAGTGACTTGTGTCCTTCCCCTGTACTGAGGACTGAGACGGGACCATACCATTCCAGTGCCTCAAGGGCACAGCCTGGGAAAGTCCCAAATTCCTGACACCAGACTCCATTGTGATTTTGTTCCCCCCATCCCCCCCCACCACGCCTCCGTCCCCCGACCTCTACAGCTCTGGTTCCCTGGGGCTGGATTTTCCCTCCTGGTAGAACACCAAGTCCTGCCCCTTCCTGGCAGACCCCTTCCCCTCAGTATACAGCAACCCTGAACTCTGTTTCCCAGACAATTCCAGAAGAAGTGATCTCAGACTCTACGAGAAGCTTAATAAATTCTACTCTCCGACTTTCTTTGGGCGTTTTAGAGACTGATTTATAAATACAGTATCTCGCTCAAAATGAAACAATCAACATAGGATAAAATTATTGAGTTATGAAAATAGAGGTCAGATGGAGGTGCGGCGCTTTAAATTAAACCGGCAAAATATAGCTTTCATACTAAATTGACTCTTTTTGTCTTGGAAATGAATGTTTAATCAGCTAAGACGTGGAAGTTGAGGGAGAAAGCCCTGAGCATATTTAATTTTGTAAAGGGGTCTGGTTCCAGGATTATACATAATACTGGCAGCACCAGGAGAAGGGATAGGTCCATGTGCACATGAGACCTAGCAATCAAGCAAGGGACCAGAAGGCATTGATGGCCTTTGGGGTCAGAGCTACGGGGGTCTTGGCATTGATGAAATGGCCACCAAAGATCAATGTCTTACCTACTTCTACAGAGATGGCCTCTCCAGGGCATCTGTGTCTGTGGAGACAACACCTGAAGCACCTGGCATCTGGGTGTCCTCTGCACTACCTGAAGCCGGGCTGTGTAATCCTTCACCCACCCTGGTAGAACTGGAAGGCAGATGCAGGGACTTGGGAAGGTGTGACTTCTATAGGTTTGGCTTGAGAACTAGGTAGCCTTTTCATTCACAAAGTACAGGTCTGTCTCGTGCCCAATTCCTCGTAGGCGGGATAAGGCAGTTTCCGAGAGTCATCTGTTCTGCTGTGCTTGGCTGAGTCTCCACCAACATGCAAGGCCCCAGTCAGTGTTGTCAGTGATGCCCTTGGGCAGATGAGGCCAGTGAGGCACACGAGCCTTGGTACTCCATAGAAATTGTTTCCTTTATCATATCCCCACCCCACACAGGCCAGTGCTCCATATATGAAGCTAGTGCCACTGCCGTTTGAGTCGAGGATCTCTTCCAGGCACACAGACTCCCACTGCTAATTGAACACCCACAGCGTTCTTTAGAATCAGGCTGCATCAGCTGCGCAGTAATGTAACGACATTCCTAAGTCTGTTCACTCAGAGTTAAGGATTATTTTGGCTCAGGGTTCTAAAAGTTCCAAGTCTAAGCCTGGGGAGGGGACTAGGGATGGAGGTAGGTGAGAGGGCATATGGCTTTGGACCTCTGTTGGGGGTTGCAAAGCATGCTGGGAGTGTGAGAGTAAAGGGCCACATCTGGAGCCAGGGAGGAAAGAGACCAGGATGCCAGAATCCCTGTGTCCCTTAGGGCCTTTCACGTTATAATACCACCCCTCCGGGATCTGAGTTCTTCATATCAAAGAGTCTCAGGGTTCACAAAGCCTGACACCTAGAAGGTGTTCAAGCATGGCAGGCAATCGGGAAAATGCCACACCCCTACTGAAGATATCATCATCAAGTCATGGGCCGGTGAGAGGGCTCAGAGGGTAAAGCCACTTGCTGCTAAATCTGACAACTAGAGTTTGATTCCTGGGGCCCACATGGAGGAAGGAGAGAACTGACTGCCGAAAGTTGTCCTCTGACCTTCACAGGTGTGCCTTGGCACATGCACGTGCATGCACACACACACACACACACACTAAGCCACAATCCTCACAACCTGTGATGTAACAGAAGCAAGTGGTCTTTGCAGAGAAAGTTCAGGCTCAGGATCACAACATTGGGAGATTGTTCTAGAACAAATTCCACCATAAGTGTCCATGAGAAGGCCAGTGGAGCTATTCCTGAGAGAGGAAAGGCCAGAGTTCAAGGAGAGACACAACCACAAGCCAGGGAAGCCTCTAGATTCTAGAGTCTAGAAGCTAGCAGAGGTATGGATGGACACCCCAGAGCCTCCTGGGGAAGCTTGACTTCCCAGAACCTTAATTTCAACATGAGGCACTGATTTTGGACCATCAGGGTTGTGCATGGGTGGATCTCTGCTGCCACAGGTTTGTGGTGATTTGCTAGAGCAGCCATGGAAAGGAGAAGCGTGCATGCTTCCTTCTACCCGGCCTCCAGCTTCTCCATCTTAGGTCCCTGCCTCTCTCAGTTGGGAGGAACACAGTACAAGAAAGCCTTTACAACCCCTCTGCGTGCTGCTTGACACCCAGCAGGTGCTTCCATAATCTTGCTTCACACAAACAGCGGGCACTGCACACCCACACGCCCTTTCTCCCGGCAGGTCCCAGGAATTCAAAAGCTCTGTAGTCAAGGTCCCTTGCCTCTTAACCCCAAAATTCTTATTTGACTTTTCCCATTTGGTTGGCAGGAGGCGGAGGAGGCTCTGCCCTGAGTGACAAGGTCAGGCTTATCTTTCATTAAGGAGGGAATATAAAAATCGCACGAACCCCTGCAATTCTAGACTAATGAAGAGCTAAGAATTTGAGAAGCGTCCTAAATATGTATCAGCTGTAGAGAAATCAGCACAGGACTGGTTTGCACAGAGCTCATGGAAACGATCATTTCCAAGGGGAGCCAGGGGAGGGCTGTGATCAGCTGACGGCAGGCCTTGTAATGAACGGGGCTGTTGTGATCAGGAGGCCTGGGAAGGGCACCAGGAGATGAGCCACAGTATGGACGTGTGAAGGCCAGGAGACAGCCACAGGTGCCACCCACTTTGTGTTTTGGACAGGGTCTCCCATGGAGCTTTCCTAGTAGCTCCATGCGTGGCTGCCTGACCAGCAAGCCCCGGTCTAGGATATGCTTGTGTTAGACTCCTAAGTGCTGGGATTACAAGCACATGCCACCATGCTGGCTTTTATTTTTAATACAGGTTCTGAGGGCTCAAACTTAGGTCCTCATGTTGGCAAGGGCACATGACTGTGGGGTCTGAACCAGTCCACCAGTTGGAAAAGGAAACTGGAGTAAAAAAAAAAAAAAAAATCAGAATTCCTGGAGAGTGGAGCATCCATTTCCACTGAGTTCTTAATTAATTATTAACGAGGTCTCGCTGCGCAGTTTAGTTTGGCCTGTTCATGAACTCACGGTCTTCTTGCCTCTGCTTATATCAGGCTACGAACTGGGCTGTGGTTTCTGGGCAGCCATTGTGGTAGCAAACACAATCCAGTCAATATCATGTGACTCTGACAGGGAAGCCAGGTGAGCGTCTTGTCCTTCAGCCTCAGGAGAATTGTAACTCAATCTGACACACACTAGAGGGTTGCCTCAGCTTAGATTCAGTGGTTGGTCCAGACAGTCAGCCACGGTTCTCCTTGGAAGACTTACTCACTTGCCACAGGTGTGGTAGCTGCCAGCAGCCACAGGCCTACTGTGTGGAAATGGGAGCGGGGTGGGGCCACAGTGACAGCCACCAGTACAGCTCCTGCAAAGAAGCATCCTGAAGCCTTTGTCTATCTGTGGCTACATCAGTCTCTAGTGCTCACATTCCTGCTATCCGAGCCATGAACGTAAGAGTTTTAACTCTAATATTAACTGTGTAATTAATATTAATATAATTAATATTAATTAATATTAAGCGATAGGAGGAAAGAGAAACACGGAGCACAGTTGATTAAGAATGATGCCGGAGGTCCCTTAAAGTGCCTCTTCTGCTGACTTCCTGTAGGATTTGATAGTTCAGACAGACCATCATGTTAAAAAAAAAAAACGTAATCCCCTCAGCTCGGAATTCAGGAGCTGATGCTGCATGCTGTCCTGAGCTCCAGGCTCCTGGCTCTGCTGGCTGCAGGTTCTCACTCTCCAGCCCCATAATAAAGGAGTCAATCCCATGCTGACTTCACCAGATCACTAGCCCCTTACCTCTTCCCATTGCAAACGCTGTCCTGTATCCTGGAACATCCTCCCTACCTCTGTCTACCTGCTGTCTTTCATCTACCCTTGAATTTCAGCCTGGTAACTCCTCCCTGGCTACTTATATAAAACACTCAGGATAGGCAAACAGAGGCAGAAGGTAACCTTTGGTAAGAGGGTGTGGTGGTGTACACCTGCAACTCCAGGACTTTGAAAACAGAGCCAGTGGGCCAGCCTGGGCTACATAGTGAGTTGCCAGCTAGCCAGGACTACAAAGTGTCTCAAAACAAAACAGCAAAATAAGGGAAAGTAATGGTAGTTTTCTTGGACCAAGGGTTGAGTATGATAATTGGGAGCGATGACTAACAAAGCTAAGGCTTCTTCCGATGGGAGGGGAGAGATGAAAACATTTCAAATGGATTGTAGTTACCCAATCTATGTGTGGGAATTGATGGCATGCATATCTCAATAAATCTGCTGGAAATAAAATTTAGATTATACTATTAACAATCAATTAAATCAGTCCCAAGTTGCCACAAACAGAGCTGTAGATGTAACCGTTTCCCTCCACACCATCCCCATATCCTGCAGATTCTCCACAATCAGAACTCAGACCCTGCACATGATCAGGGCTCTTTGGCTCAGCCTTGCCAACCAGCTCCCCTCAAGTTCTCCCTTGCTGGAGCCAGGGGGCTCATGCAGGAGACAGACTCACCGTGGGCAGCTGGCCTGACAGCAGGTGGCCATCCTGGGCCAGCATGTTGGACACCATGATGGCCGGGAGATCCATCGCCTGGTACGAGTAGGCAGGGAGCAGACCGTTGGGCGCAAGGCCGTGACACAGCGAGTGGTAGCTGGCTTCGTGGTCCCCCAAATGCAAGAGGGATGACTCAGGGAGATTGGGAGGTGTTATAGGAGGAATCTCATAGTCTTCGTTACTCTCCCCTTGGCTGTTATAGGTCTGAAAATGATAGAGGGGCAGAGGGCGGGGTCAGTGCCTCAAAACCACAGAAAGTATTCAATAGCATCAGTTAACAGCAACCATGGAAAAAAATGGCAAGCCCTCGGCAAAGAGATAACCCGAATGCAAGGCATAGAGCCTAGTGATCTGACTCAGATGCCTGCTCAGCTCCTCAGTGAATTTTACTCCCACTGAGGCTCTGCAGACAAGAGCCTGGACTCCTAGAAGGTACTTTCCTGCACCTTCTCCTGATTTCCCAGGACATCTTGCCCATGACCACCTGAAAGCTCCGTCAGCCACCAACTTTACAGAGGGGAACTTGGTCCAAGGAGGTCAGGGAAGGTGAGCAGAAGAGCTGGGGACTGGAGCTCTGGGCAGCCAGAGTTTTCTCCTAGGCATCCTGGGTAGCCAGGACTTCTCTTGGTCCATATCTTGGTGAGTGGAACAGATTAGCAGCTAAGAGGCCACCTCCAGTCTTACCGGGTTATTTTCTCACCCTAGTGAACTGGCCAGTGACCCCAGGACAAGCTAGCAGACATAGTGAGCACTAAATTTGCCTTTCTCCTTGTTCCAGGTTTTACCATAGACCACGAGGAGCATGTACTTTGGGCCCTGGCTTTATGGCACATGTCTGAGTATGCTTCAGTCGGTGGAAGGGACCCCACAATAGTTGGGGTGAGTGAATTTTTAAAAATTGTAAATGGGTTTTAAATTGTTAATTACATTTATCTGTTTGTGTGCGTGTGCACATGCACGCATGTGTGTGTGTACGTTTGTGTGTGTACATGTGCCACGGTGCATACGTGGAGGTCAGAAGACAACTTGTGGGGGTCCTTCTCCTATGTGGATTCTGGGAATTGAACTCAGGTCATCAGTCTTGGTGGTAAGAGGTTTTAACTCCTGAAATATCTTGGTGGCTCAGATTTTTGTAAATTTTATTTGCACCAAACTATTTCCCCTGCACCCACTGTCAGACTCCAGTGCTCTTCTCGCTTCCACTTAGTCAGTGTGATAACAACCTCACCTTATCTCTCTTTACTCCACTTCTTCCATCCTTCCCTTCCTATCGAGAATGGGTTTACTCTGTAGTCCATGCTGGCCCCGAACTCTCAGTAATCCTCCTGTCTCAGCACCCTGAGTGCTGGGATCCTAGGCTTGTTGAACACCCTGCATCCCTGGAACAAACCCTGCTTGGCCCTGATCTGCCTCTCACTGTGTGTGGCGCTGGACCTGGTTGGCTAGGGCTGTCACACGGGGTTCACGCACAGGATTAGCTTCAGTCTCTCTGTCTGCGCCTGCCCACATCTGACTTTGTTTTCAGCCTAGGGAGTTAGTCCTTCCTCCCCAGAGTCTGGAGATGAGAGCCAACAGAAGACAGCTATGTAAACTGGAAGATAGAGCTGAAGAAACTGCCCATGATCCACCAGAGACAGACAATGAGAAGAAGGATAGGCAGATGTCATGGATTCTGTTTTAATGGGACAGAGGTAATGGTTGAGAATATTCTAGAAGTGATGAAGGACACCAAAGGAGTTTGTGGATAGGAGGAAACCTTCATCAGCATGTATGTGCAGAAAAGGAAAGAAAGGCCTGAGTTACAGTAGCACATGGGACTGGGGAGTTGGCTTGGTGGCAGAGTGCTTGCTCAGCACTTGTGAGATCCTGGGCTCTTTCCCCAGAGCAAGGGTGGCAGAGGAAGGACACGGCTTATCATTTTGTATTGCTCTGTGAATCCAGCATGACAACTAAACACCTCTTCCCTGCAAGTCTCGAACCATGCCTGCTTCTCAAGGACTGGTGGATGAAGCCATGAGTATAGCGAGGTTTGGGTCAAGCTATGACAGAGCAGGGACACATAGCATGTGCCTCATGTTCCTCAGGCACCATTTAAGGACCTTATGATGGCCTGGGAGAGAGTGAATACTGCCTGTAACAGTTAGACGCCAACATTGCCTGTGCTCACTGGCTCCCTCTGCAGGGCTATTGTGGAGTTACCACACAGATGGGAAAGGTGCCTGGAAGTGTGGAAGAGGTGGTCTACCTGCTATCTTCCCTCAGCTTTCTTCTCGTGTTGGAGTTTATCCTGGTCAGCCCTGAGCTCTCTTCTCTTTCCCCTTACACTTCTCTTCCAGATGACCTCAACAAACCTCGTGTTCAAAGCCCTCTGGGTGTCACATCCATCCTCCATTCTTACAGCTTCCCTGAGCACCGCAGCTGGACATCACAATACCCAAGGTTCCCTTCCTCTGTCTTGCACCTGTGTTCTGTGACAATGCTGGATGACATCACCCTCCATCCGCAAACCTTCCCCTCCCTTCCACTCACCTCTTAATTCCAACAGAACTACTCCAAAATACCTTTAAAATCTGCCCAGTCCATCCCACCTCCCCACCATGGACAATGCCAGCCTCCTCCTGGTCCCCACAGCCTCTCTTCTCCCCCAGCCTCTCCTGTAGGCAGATGATCTCTAACGAGCATCATCCCTCAGAGCCACTCCCACTTCAGATCCTCTGACAGCTCCCCTGGCTTTGTCATTGTTGCTAACATTTTAGTTAGTGCAAAAAAAAAATCATAGGTTTTGTTATGACATTTTCAGAGATGTATCATTGTATATTACTGATTCCTTTCCTTCTGTAGCTTAGCCTCTTCTGCTTTCATGAAACATATACATGCATATGAATATATATTTAAATACAAATTTCATATATGAGTGAAAATAGGTGATATCTATCTGAGTCTGGATATTTAACAATGTGTTCGACTTTGATCTTCTCTCTGCAAACGCTGTCACTTCACTGTTCATGGGCGAGTAAAATTCTTGCTGTGTATCTATCTATAGTGCGTTTTCCTTATCCACCAACTAGGCTGGTTCAGCATCTTTTCCATTGTTAGTAATGCTCCACGGATGTGTGGCTATGCTGGTTTAGGTCCCTTCAGGTACATACCCATCAACCCACTGCCTTTGGGTTCAAGACCTTAGTCTCAAACATGACCCTGTAAGTCCTCACATGGCCTGGCCATTGCCGGCTCAGGGCTGCCACCCTTGCTGCTCTTGGTAGAATTCCACATTAAGGGACCTCTCCAAAGGCACAGAACAGGTCCTGGCAGCTTGCTGGCTCAGCATCCCCACTGCTGGATGCCACAGACCAGTCCATGCACTGTGGGTCAGTGTCTGTCTTCAGCCTCACCACCAAGATGGGTTGAGGGCCAAGGATCTTTAGGTGGAACCAAAACATGGATATCACTTCAGAATGCAAAGTCCTCTGGTATGCCTTTTTGTTCAGAGTTACCATCTCAACTGTCCAGTCCACCTTTGGAAAGTGGCACTTTCACAAGTCTCCCATACCTTCGGCTTGTATACCCCTCCCCCAATGCCCCAGGCCCCATGAAGGCTCAAGTCTCCTTGTTCCCAGTACCCAGAACAGTGACTGACACCTAGAAAGAACTCAGTTACAATACATGAGTGAGCTCACCATATGGACCACTCCAGGCTCTAAGTTCAAGCCTCACCCAGGTGTTCCCACATCTGCCCCTTCCCTGAGGACAACCGTTCCTCAGAACTTGTGTCTTATGCTCCCTCCCTCCCTGTCCACAGCATCCAGAACTGGTACTGACACAGGGAAGGATGCCAGGGAATGCCAAATGACCACAGAACTTCATCCTTTTTAGTCCAAACCCAAACCTCAAGGCTCTGGAATGCACCCAATCGACCAGAAGCCTTTTAGAAAAACCAGCATGTGTTGTATCAAAATATTGAAATAACACAATTATGACAATTCCTCTAAGGAAGCAATTAGCACACTTAAAATAAGCATGCAAATACACATTTGCCTCTTTGGGGTATAGTCAGATCCCAAACACTGAGTGTTAGCCAGCTTATCCTGAGGCTGAGTCCTCACTGTGTTCCTGTCTCAGCTTCTGGCATTTCCATACAATTTCCCTTTAAACATATCTATTCTGAAAAGATACAGCTACCACCTTTGTTTTTCAGTCAGGGAGGGTGGAGTTCAGAGAGTGAAGGAAGTGTTGGAAGATGGAGTCTCTGGGTTAGGTTCATGAGTGTGAAGCCAGCATTCCTCCACACTAGGTCATCTTGTGCAGACCCTACTCTAGACCCTGCTGTGTAAGAGACCTGCCGCTCAACATGACCACCTTCTCCTCAGCATGGGAGGCCTCACGAATATCCAGAGAGCAGCATCAAGATGGTAAGAGTCCTCAGAGCTCTGGAATACACAGGAAGACTGTCAGAGGTCCTTTTCATGCTCCAGTTCAAGGAAGGGAAGAGTGTGACCCCATTCTAATGACCTGGGGCTAGCTATAGGGTCAGAGGAGAACTGACTGCCCCTGGAACCTCTGGAAGGAGGGATCTTAAAGCCTAGCATTATGAATCTTATTTTATTATTTTATTCATTTTATATTTTGTTTTACACGGTAAGGGTTTCATGTAGCCTTGAGTTTACCATACAGCTGAAGGTGACCTTGGATTTTTCATCCTCCTGCCTCCACCTCCCAATGTGCTGGGGTTATAGGTGTGTACCACCATGCCCTGTTTATGTAGTGTTGGGAGTGGAACCCACAGATTCAGGCATATCAAGCAAATGTCAGCTGAGGTATACCCCTTATCCCAAAGCCTAGCTTCTTAAACTGTGGGTCACAAACTGTTATCTATAAAATACTTGGCAAGATTTTAAAAAAAGTCTGACCATGCAAAAGACAAACAATTAACTCGGAATCAAATGCATGGCAAGTCTTGGATGTTTCCAGCAGCTGATACCCGTGTTGCCTCTGGTGACTTCCCTGCAGGCTTGGTTCTGAGCACACCACCCGTGTGCTTTGCACTGTTGACAAACCAGTAAAATCATCGAAGACGCTTAGAATGCTTCGTCTCAAACCCAGACTACTGTGTGAATTCTTATTGGACAGAGTCTGCTGTAGCAGCATATTTTCCCGCAAGTTGGGAGGTGCTAAAGTGGGAGGAGTAAGGAGAGGAAGAGTAGGAA